TATAGACCACACTAATTGTATTTTTATCACTATGCAAAACTAGTTTTTTATTAATTTGGGAATAAATTATTTACTAGGCTGTTTGTTTAAAAGTAACTAAATGTTTAACCTTTACATATTATTTTAATCCTTGCACTTTATTCTGTTATATTGTTTTTGATGAACGATATGTCTCTCAAAAACTAACGTTATTTTTACTATAGATCACAGAAAAACTCTTAAATTTAAAAAGAAGTCTACTCTTATCTTTATTCTGACTTCAAATAATATAGAATCGGTGAATATATAATAAAAAAACAAACTATATAATCTATCTTTACACTGGTGGTCAGGTATGGTTTCGTTCGAAAATATTGTGCTGTGAAAGGTTTTAATACCTTAAGGCTTTAGTAAGTAGTAATTATCTTGTTGTAAAATTAAAAATACACTGTGTCTTTGTTTCGTGGATATCAGATTCCTTTGAAGTAAAACAATTTATATATAAAATAAATTAATAAAAAACTACACTATTTTACTTTTAGATTATTTAATCAAGAAATATATTGACTCTTAAAAGTACCATTTTAGTTTTAAATACTTAGGTACAACGACTTTCCCTTTGACTATGTTACAAACGAAGAGTCCCCATCGTACAGTTTTACATGGTTAGGACTTTCTTGTTAAGCTTACACCAATTCGCCTGGTTATTGAAAGTGCATTTATTTCAAGTTTGTTTACTCCTAAAAACAAAGCAATCAACGAACTAAATCGTGTTACAGTGTTTCTAGGATTTTTAAAGCGTAACATTTTATACATTAATTTCATGTGTATTGATTGGATACAATTGATACGCCATTAGTTAATGGCGGAATTTGAACCGAGGACCTCAAATCCCACCAAATCATCAAAAGATTTTATCCAAGTGATAATGCCACAACCCTTAGGTCTAGCCTAGAGTGATCTGAAAAAAGACCGGGCTCGTGCCTAGCATCTTAGAATAAAAATAAAAATAAACTATAATTGACTACAACTAACACCTGATCCATGTATTTTATTAATTTTTTTGTATCTTGTGATTTTCTTTTTGTGGGAAAAACCATTCAACCATCCATTGGTTACATTGAGTGAGTGATATTCAGCCTTACTTATTGATGATTTTAAAGATCAAAGACTTATCTTCATACCATTCATATCATGCTAAAGATTCGATCTTATTACGGTCCTTTCATCTTAAATCTAATCCCCCCTCAGAATTAATTTACTTATGGATTTCAGTTTATATTACATTCATGAACAGGGAAATCAGATTTCGCTTATTAAAAAAATTATGTGTATATATTTACTCACTTAAAACCATGACAAACCAAACTCTGGTATAAGATATTCAAGCAACCGCAAAAACGTATAAGGTTAAATCGTTATTGAAATATTTAAATATGTAACCCATCTTTATTTTAAATATTTATCAGCTTATCTTATCCTATATATTAGAAAACCATACTTAAACTGATGAATAATAAATTCTTTACAATTAGTTTGCTGTTGTTAACCTTAATAGAAAGCAGAACTTTTCGATGGGCCACAAGGAGCCAGATGTGTAACTATTTTATAACATGTCACTTATTATTCATAAAATTTCTCTGATTCATTTCGTTTCATTGCAAATTTAATTTATTTATTTTAAAAGAAATAATACACAGTAAACGTAGCACATTAAACTGATTGTAAAATAATTATGAAACTCATTATTCAGTCTGGTAACAATTAGACCTATTGGTATGTATTACGTATAAAACTTGTAATAAGTTCCTGATTTGTGTGTAGCGTATCTAAACATTGGAACCATAGAAATACGGATGGTAATAATTCACGGCCATATTGCTTAAAATACAAATTTTACAAAATGCAAAAAATGTACACTGCAGTTAAAATACATTGTTAATAAGCGATATTTTGGCTATACATTCATATACATTTCCTTCTACAGTTCACAAACTAAGACTCGTTGCAGAGGCTGTTATATCTTCCCTCGTACTCTTGTATACAATGTAATTTACAGATACATACTGTACATTTTTGATGGGTAATTAAAACATATTTTGCGTCAGCCAAGTTTTAACCTAAAATTTTATAATCTAAATATAATGACATTTTTGTCAGGGAAACATATTATGAGATCCGGAATTGTTATGCCACCATATATCTTTTACAATATAACATTTACATACGAAATATGTTAGAAATAACATTATCTGAATTTCATGAGGTTTCTTTCCGAGACTCATTAGCAAGTAACAGGATCTGTAATACGTTAATTCCAAGCTAAAGAGACTTTACGGGACTTATTTACTTAAGTTAAAAGGTTTCAAGGAAGTACTGTACTCTAATGATTTTTTTTTTATAAGGTTTACGGTAAGGTTTATAAGGTTATTAAGTTTGAACATTTTCCTTTATTTTAAATTCATATTTTTTATACCAAATATTTTTAGTAGACTCGTAGAATGATCACGGGAAATATAAATTCATTTTGAGGTCAGTGAATTTATAAATTTAAATTAGTTATTTATAATATGAAATATATCGGTCAACCAAAATGGAAAAAAACCAAGCTCATGCAAAATTTTCCAATATACAGATGACCTGAAAAGTCAGCCCTTGCTAGCCACGGTATTAATACAAGACATATTTTCAATTTGGAAAACATTTAACTTTTAAATAAAATTATAAAACCCCAACACCTTTATGCATGTGAATCTCTTTTTATATATAAAAAAACAGACCAAAATTATTTGGTAAATAATGGAGACGGCCCAAACTCGGAATTACTTAAAACAATTGTATTGTTCTAGACCAGAACCATCTTGATAACATTGTTGTTTTTTTTTAACACAGCAAACAGAAGCTTAAATTTTGACAACATTCTTAAATATTTGTTTAGTTTTTTTTATATTTAATACTATCAGATTTTTTTTCTTTTAATATTTTGTAGATTTTTTTATATTTAGTTTCTAAATGTAAGGAATTTATGGCCTAATTGGAATTCAGTAAGGTTATGTATGCCCTAATACATTAGGGCATCTTTGATTTTGTTTTTCAAAATTAATAAAATACATCTTATAAAACTAACAGAATAGTACTAATGATACAAGGAAAGGCTGAATAATGACAGTCTTATAAAAGTGTTAAACTCCCCAGACAAAGGCTCAGTGAAACTGTCAATTTCCAATGAGATCATTACTCTCTCCAGTCTCTTACACTCTGGACCATTAGTCATTTTGATTTATGTATTTTTGATTTTACTATCAAACACTTTTCCTACAATACGAAATCGCAGTAATTAGTTATTAATGGATGTAAACTGAAATTGGAACTACGATTGATTTATTTTAGACTTATATATTTTACACAATTTTATCTTAAGATATTTCACACCATCATTTAACCATCACCACAAAATAACTATAAATCATTTAATTGTTATACAAATACTTCAACAAATATAAAGCATAAATCATTAGTACGTGAGCAACATTATGACGGTGACTTGTATTTGTAGCGTAAACATGTTTTTTTCCTAAGATGAGCCTACAGGAAATTGATGGATTTTGTGAGTATGGCTCGTAAAAAACGTAGTCTTTCAAACTTTAAATCTTGGAACCCCAAATTATATATAAATACAGAACTCAGTTTGTTTAAACGGTTCACACTGATGTTTTTCTTTATTGGATTTTATGTCGGCACCACATTTAACAACCTTCTTTTGTGGCATGAAAATGAGCCTCAGAATTAAACCAGCAACTTTAATGAAATAAACGAAATACATATATTTTACAAATATTCATCCCTAAGTAATTGTTTACAACATTTACACTTATTAATACCTCCAATTAATCACTATCATAATTTCTAAAATGCTGTAGGAACATGTTTCATAACAAATGATTTTGCAATCCTTAAAATATTATTTTGCACACTATACAACTAGCCTACTAGGATATCTTATGTTTTTGGGAGATTTAGTAAAAATACAACTGTTTGTTAGGTTAAATTGTGGTATGTGTATGAAGCGAATTACCGTTGACTAATGAGCTTCCGCGCAAATTAGCAGGATTAATGGTATTGCAATCTACTATGTAATTAACAATCTATTAGATTCCTATTGACAATCAAGAGGTACAAATGTCGTTTAATATAAAAATGCATTTGCATAGTTAAAAACTGTTACAGTACAACTGAACTTGTATAAATGGTCATGCACATATAATATAAATGGATATTTTGTTTATGGATTTTTGAAAATGTACGGTTACCTTTTTAACTTATTGACTCTAAAGTAGGAAAACCTGTTATTAAGCTGCAAGCTATATCTTAGTTTGTGAATGAGAAGTACATATCAAAGGAAGATGAACCTCTGTTTTACTACCAAGTCTGTCCATGGTGTCTCAAACCTACAAGGATCTGCTCTTATGTTTATAACATGGATTAACTCAAGTCTACATGTTGGTTCATACGCTTCTGCTAAAGCAAGGTGCAGTTTATTACACAAACTCTAAGGCCCGATTTCACCAAATTCTCGCTAACGATGGTTTAGTTAAACTTCGGTTAAAACTAACTGATGATTTAAACCACAGTTAAGGAAAACCGATTTCACCAACAAAAACCCGTCAAAACTAACGCTGGTTTTATAAACGAGAGTTTAGAGTAAAATCCAGGTGGCAGTGAACTGTTGTAAACAATAACACGTGGCTGAAATGTGAGCAAGTAAACATAACCTAAAAAAATGTGTTTACTGTTTTTTTAGGAATAGGCAGAAGTTGTCTTCGTACGTATTAAAAATATTGTAATTGTTAACTAGTTTTAAATTTTCGTGTCGTTTTTTAAAATATTGTAATAGTTAACAGTTTTTATTTTTGTTTTTGTGTCAGTAACTCAGTGATTATTGGATTGTTTATTGTAATTGATTTTGTGTTTTAAATTAAGTAATGTCCAATCAAACTCAAATAAAAGGGTTACCTAAAACGATGAAACGTAAAAGGGAACCTACCTTCACAAACAACGAGAAACGAAATCTCATATTATTAGTTGAAAAACACTTTGAAATTATTGAATGCAAAAAGACAGACGCACTTTCCAGCAGAGCAAAACATAATGAGTGGCTCTTGATCGCCAACCAGTTTAACTCAATCACCGATCATATTCCTCGAGATGCGTCTTCACTAAAGACTTTGTGGGACAACTTGAAGAAAAAGGCCAAACAGTCAATGACTGTTATCAATAGCAACCGCTATGCCACAGGTACGTTTGTTCCCTAAAATGCCTATAAATATAAGGTTACTATACATGTTATTTGTTTACTTTAGGGGCACTAACGAATGGCTGCTTTACTATACTAATGCCTTACTTAAGGCTTGTTACTATAAATTATATTTTGTTATTGCCGTTTGTTACTGAAAATACATAAGTAATAACTGATGGGTCAAACCCATTTCTTTGTTTTCATAGGAGGTGGACCATCTAATGAGCCGAAAGAGGACTCAAATATCGACAAAGTCATTTCATTAATTAAGACAAATGTTGAAGGATTCTCCAACATCTATGATTCCGACGTTGCATTGTTAGGTAAGTCAAACGAGTACCAAGGTTTGCTAGTTCAAGGAAACTAATAAAGTGTGTGTTTTTAGTAAAATATTGATAGCTTAGTATAAAATAAATAAATTTGCCAACTATTATCAAACCAAGCATGTTCTCAAACAGGCATGCTTTATTTAGGTTATTAATATGCTTGCTACCATTATTGGAGAAGAAGGCTATATTGTGTGAAACAAATTTTTCACACTACATCTTGGGTAGGTACTGCCAAAATATATGGGACGTCAGCACGCCACCTTTTAGCGAATTTACTATACGGAGGTAGGTTTTTACTCTCAAAACAAATAATATCCCAATTTCTCCATAGACCTTTAACGAGCTTAAAAAACAAATAATGTAGTATATCAAAGTGTGCTTAGGGTTATTGGTAACGGAGAAACTTCAAAATATTGCAAATTTAAAATTCCAATGTTATTCTTTTGGAGAATATATTGTAAAATGTTTTAGTTTGCTTGCTTATAGATATATTTTGATAATAGTTGGCAAATTTATTTATTTTATACTAAGCTATCAATATTTTACTAAAAACACACACTTTATTAGTTTCCTTGAACTAGCAAACCTTGGTACTCGTTAAACCTAATGTTATTTAAATACATTTAATTGAAAATCAATTCAGACAAATGGAAATTCGCTTAGTCGGCAGGTTTGCTGTGGTGGGGGTTTTGAAACCAATACTCATCGACTGTTATTAATTTATAAGATAAAAACTTATAAATAAATGACAGTAGTACTATGAAAACTGTACCTATGTACTTTTACTATTCACAGTTACCGGTAAATTGTGAGTGTTTTTACAATGTTAAGTTACATGGAGTGAAACAATCCTGTTTATTTCAGATAACAATGAAGATTGTGATGAATCCCTAAACCTTCCTATTTCCGAAGTAGATTTGGACAACCACGTCAATAAAGAGCACGATCACAATAAGGAGTCCGCTGCTGAGGTAGGGTACTTAATTAATAATTCTCTAGACATTTTGTTCTTCCACAATTTGTTTTAGTTTTCATTATTGTTAAACTTGTTTTATTAACTTGGCAAATTTTTTAATCAAAGCTTGTATGTTTATTAAAAAATATATAACATAATCAATAATATCACATTCAAGATTATAGGGAAATGTGTATAGTCAACGATGGTATGGTTTTTAAAAATGTTTCAACAGTTGTGATTTACATGAATGAAATCTTGTTTTATTATCCAAGCATATACATTTTTTTTAATGTTGGGATTAAAATATTCCCGTTAAAATCCTAGTTTTTGTGTTATTGAAGTAAATATGTAAATATAATAAAATGATTTGCAATATTGCTACTGATTTCCCTCATAAACTATATCTTGAATTAGCCAAGTTAAAAAAGTTACCAATTCTATTCCCTCTGTTTTAAGGTACCTATAAATGGTGATTGGACAAACTATACGCCAGCCCTTCTAAGAACTCCTAGAGCAAAGGTGCTCGTAGAAAATTTTGACTATCAAATAGTAGAGGAAGCAGGTGAAGAAGTGAGTTCCAGTCCTTCATCTGCCACTACAAAGACTGAAAGGCCGCAAAAGATGGAAAAACTCGAAAACAAACCCCCGTTAAAGTCAACAATAAGGTCATCTAGACACATGACCAACCGAAGAAGGCCAGTGTTGAAAGAAAGTGAAGCCGTTGTTCTTGCCACGACCAAAATAGAAACACTAAAATCGACGGTAGAACAGGCTAAACAACAACATGAAGTTGTTATGCGTTGCCTATTGCTTCAGGAAGAACAAGAAAAGGAAAAACTGAAACAGGAACAAGAAAAAACGGAACAAGAAGTAATAAGAAAGAAAATACTTTTGGTGGAGTTGGAAAAAATCACAAACAATTCTTTTCCCAACGAAATGTAATTCTGGTTATAAATTAATAATGCTATGTACAGGTTGGAGTCTTGGGCCATAGTTGGTTAGACTTCAACGTGTCTTCAATAATCAGCTGCCAACTGAGCAAGTCTGCAAAAATGATATCAATAGATTAGTAGTTGTATATATAAAATTTAAAATCTCTAACTTGAAGCCTTCGTTATGTTTCCATTTTTTAAATAAAAATATATTTGTTGTTTTATTTGACCTTTACCTTATAATTATTAAGGGGTTCATAAAAAGGTGAGTTACAAACTTTTAGGGTTGATAAGACACAACATTATTTAATCAAACAGTTTCCTATAAACATAAGTTGAGTCAAACATATTTGCCGTTGAAAATTAAAAAAAAAAAACATTAGTTTAATTAGTATAAGATAGATTAGTACAACATAAATATATTATACGTTAGCATTATTTGCTTTATATCAAATTAATCCAACAGACAAACCTGGTAAAATGATTCGTCACTAAAGACTGTCGTGCTAGGAAGTTGACATTTTCTCTCTGAGGTCCACCAGCGGGAACATAAGGCATACCCATGTTACCCTCTGCTATAAGAGTCTCCCACGGAGCAGGTAAAACCAATTCCTGGTCATCAGGAGGAAGCTCTTCTCTCGATTGCTGTGCTATGTTGTGGAGCACAGCCGTTGCAACAATAACAGGCACTGAGTTCTCTAAGCTTAAGCGCAGGCCTAACGCCATAGCCGGAAATCGCCTTTTCCACACCCCAAACATTCTTTCGACAGGATTTCGAGTCCGTATTTGCGACTCATTGTACAAATGTTCTGGTTGAGTGTTGCAAACATCTAATGGAGTCATCATGTAGTTTTTGCAGGCATACCCCGAATCTCCAACCAAGACAGCATTTCCATACCTCCCTTCTTCAAACATTCTCTTTAGTCGGCTGTTGTTGAAGATATATGAGTCGTGGGTGCTTCCTGGCCACCTCACTACGATATCAGTAATCTCTAGGTCCGCATTGCAAACAGCCTGGACATTTAGTGAGAAGTAGTTTTTCCTATTTCTGAATACCTCACCATTTGCAGAATCTGAAAAAATGTACCTATCAATAAACTAACTTTCACTATAGAGGAATTTGCAAATGTAGCAATGTGTGAACGTGCTCTTCACACTGTTACTAATTAGTCTATGGTTATAGTGATAAAACTGCACACTGTTACTAATTAGTCTATGGTTATAGTAGCCTAGATATTAACATTTTTAACTTACCAGGGCATTTGCCAAATCGAATATGGGTGCAATCTATGGCACCAACAACCCTTGGGAAACGAGCTATGTCATAGAACTTCAGCTGAGCTCTTTTAATTTCCTCTTGCGTTTTCGGGAAAACGACAAAATCCCCACGCTTTGCAGCTATAGCACAGCTAACTCTGTGGACAATTCGGTGAGAAGTGGATGTGCTGAACCCACTTAAATCTCCAGATACCGATTGGTAGCAGCCTGTTGCATAAAATCTAAGGGCGCAGAGTAACTGGTTGATTGGTGCCACACAGTCATTTCTAAAACAAAATAAAAATATTTAATATCTCCAATTTGTTAAGTTTTTGCCAACACAAGAATAAGAAGTGCATTGCACTTGCAACGTTATTAATAATCGGTAGGTTGGTGCAATCCGCAACTAGGCCTAAGGTTACTTAAAAAAATCATCCTTTTAGTGAGGTGAAATAAATAAATCCGAACGTTTTCTATTTAAAATTAATGAAAATATGATGCCTACGCTAGGAATCCTACTGGCAAATAGATGGGCTAAACCACAGAGAATTAAAAGTAAGATGCAGAGGATACATTCTGGTACACCAGTAGTGTCCATCGCCACAAGTCGCTGGAGCATCGAACTACAGCGCCTACGGGTCTACACTGTACGAAGACCCTGTACGCTACTCTGCACACAAACGCCAATGTGTTCATCGCCGTTCGGGCTCTTCCATGCTCGGTACGAGTAGGTTAATTTCCACCCCACCATACCAGAACCAAAAGCACACGGTTGTCCCATAACTTCATGTGTATCCTCTGTATACTGTATGGCTAAACCTAAACGACCTAACTTAAAATATTATTGCTACAGTATTAACTTACTTGTCTGTTGGGAACTCCAGCTCGTCTTCGATTGTTTCCAAAACTGATAAAGTAGTGCGTTTTGATAATCTATATCCGGTAACAAAATCAATTTCGTCCAAATCATCAAAATCATTAGCCCTTTCTTTTATCCACCTAGGTCGCCGAACAACGTACTCTTCTTCACTGTCACTTTCAAATGCTAATTCATAAGCTCTTCGTCTAGCGTTAGGCCTATCCATATTAAATTATAATCTAATTTATCTATATCAATAGGTAATAAATTATATTTTAGTACTTTAAATACAGAAAACTAATTTATATCAAAGGACAAAAGACGACTTTCAACTAAACACAATAGTAAACAAAACAAACAACTGTCAGCTGATAATTACATTATTTTTTAACGGAAGATTAAAGAAGTTAACTGGTCAAAATTGGCCAGTTAATTATCTAACGACGGTTTAGTCTAAACTAGCGCTAACGGCGAGTGGTGAAATCCGATTTCGTCAGTTAAGAGCTAACTGCAGTTAGAGCAAGGCTTAACGGCGGTTTAAATGTTTGGTGAAATCGGGCCTAAGTTATTACTGATGTATACGTTGTGCATTACAGCTTCATATAAAGCTATGCAAAACCTTAAGTGTCATTGATACGTAAGTAATAATATAGTTATCATTATTCATTTTGAAAGGCGTAAGGGTTTTTTGGACATTATGTTTATGTATTGATAACAATAATATAATAACACGTCATTACACCGTAATATGGACAAATATGTAACATAATTTGGCAATAAAAAAGTAAGATTTCAATATTTTGTTTTTGCATTAATGTTTTCAAATTGATTTTAAACGCACTCAAAATACATTATTTTATTTTTATGCATTCTTCTATTAGCGAAATCTGGTAAGCGTGTTTTGTTACGGTAGCTGTTAGTTTATACAGGCAATCCAATAACAAAAGTATTCGATTGCGATACATTTTGCTCAAATTTAATGCATTTTTTCTTTAAATATGATATGCTCATATTGTATAAAATAATATTGTATATTATAATAATTATAATATAATACAATGCTTAGCTAGATAAAAGTGTATAAATCATTCAGACTGTCCACAACATTAACATACTCCATACACAGGGCCTGCTCTGACAGTGACTGATGTAGCACAGCTGATGTGTTATTCATTACATTGGACCAAAGACTTGACCCATCAACATGATTGCATCTCAAGTACTTTAACTGTCCTCGTAGATATCTTCAATTAATAGATCTGGAAACTGATTGGATTTGATCACCACTGTGAGTAGAAAAAAAAAACTCTAAAGGAATTTTTTTTTAATTGCTAATCATAACATTATTCTATTATTTAACGAATTATTTAAATTTTTCCCCGTTAGTGTCAAGGTAATTGTGATTGAAATTTTCACTAATATGAAATAGTATTGTATATTTTCATGTACAGTAACATAGTTCTTTAGTTGTGAATCATTGGTATTTTAATGGGTCCCAGGGTGGCTTAAAACATGTTTAAAATCACTGGACATATCTATTCTAGTCATGCGCTTGGCAATCCACTGTTTCAGACTAAACAAATAACTGAAACCACTTAATGATTGCGATTTATTTAAGTGATTCACAGCACAAAGACGTAAGATTTTAAATATCAAAAGTTTTCAAATAAATTGATTGCAGCTAAACTTATTAGAAGAGGAGTTATCGAAAGTAATTTTAACAAATAATGTGTGCCCTTTAAGTTAACCAATTCCGATATCTTGGCACGAGTTTAATGTCAATAGAGCACTTTCTAGACAGGAGAAATTATTGTCGAAGTCCAGCCAAGACCAATGAATCAATACCTGAGATCGCTTATGTCCTTCACTTTACCAACTCATCACACATAAATTCAACTGTTTAAATACATTTTTATAATATGAAAATGTATTATGGTTTTGTAATTTTTTTTAATTCGTTTAATGTTGATGTGACCCAAATAAAATAAAAGTTAAAAGACAAACCTTTCACTTTAAAAATGCATTTTTATCTATACATCAACGCTAGCGTGTGCATGTGCAACGCTTACAAAGAATTAAATACTATATCATTTTAACTCCGTCTGTGGTTAGACTAAAAGCTAAAAAAAAAAAAAATTACAATGTTAAAAAGGTCTACGTATTTTCAGGGTTTTACGATTGGTGGATTTGTTAAGGGAACCAGAATGTTTGTTAACGGAATGTGTTTACATATTTTGCCATCAATTAAATGTAACAATAAATTGACTAGTGATAAATAGTGAACCAGTCATATTTCATGTCTAAGGTGTATAAGACACAGTTGAATAATAGAAATTCCTTATCTTAGTAAATTGAAGTTTATTATAGTAATAAGCACAAGCTGTTGGTTTAGTTACATGTTTGTTGGAAATGGCATAAACCAATCAGACTGGAATAAACCCTTAATGTTTTACAACAGTTTAGACGAAATCAATTTATTATATATTTTAAGCTAGTTTCTAACCTAAAATTTAAATTTTACAAATAATGTATCTGAAACCAATAATGTGTTGGAACTTAAAAACTAGCTATATAGCGCCATTTCTACCAAATCAATGGCCTAGAATGTATCACTGGTATGAACAATATTAAAGCGTATTTCATCAGGAGATAGCAATAGCCAATCACACTAACTTGTGTAATGTGTAGAGGACATGTGAGCTATCGGAATGTATTGACATTTATTGGACACGGGTAGTTAATTAAGCATTAATACTTCACAATGTATTACACACTTATTGCTTGAATTAGGTAATCAACAATAGTAATTAGTGATGAATTTTCATACCAATATTTCATTTACAACCTTGCCTTGATTTTAAATTGGAAATTGAAATAAATGAGAATACACTTTATTTTGAGTGAGCTGAACTTTAATTTAAATATGCTTATTAAATAGTTAAAATTGTATATATACAAGTAATTATTTAAAGCTTGAGCTTAATAAAATACATGGTGGGCCTATATATAAAAAAAATCCCTGTAAAAACATTGTGATTATTTAAAAACTTTCTTACGCAAAAACATATTGTGACCTAGGTAATTTTAACGAATAAATAAATACTGTACTTGACTGTTAACCTGCCCTCAAAATACAATGCGTCTAATAACCGAAAGAAGATGATTTTCTCTTGACGATTTACTATAAAAAGAAAAATTTATCTGGAAAGAAATAACTCAATACATTTTGTAATATTAAATATTGTTTTAATGTTAGTTTACAGTTTATCATATTCTTTTTACAACCTTTATTCTTTCTTAATATTACCTTAAAGATAGACAAAAATCAATATTACACAAATTTTAATTCCTTGGTTAAAATAAGTAAGCCTATTATAACTTATTCAGGAAATTAATTTGTAAATTGATTTTGGGTGTCCGAATAAGGTGTCTAAAATTTATTACGGAAAACGGCTTAACGTACAAGGATGAAATGCAATTATTTCCCGCTAAATCGTCCCCAAGGAATAACGTAAAAATATTTTTAACTATTACCCAATACAGGGTGTGCGAAAAACTAAGGGTTCAAATCTCAGAATATTGAAATGTAAACATATGTCATGTTTTACATCATTTTAAAGGTAATAGACACACATTTTGGTGAAAACAGATGTTAATTATCTTTTTCCGTTTCAAAATGGTGGCAGTTTTTTTTTAGGGAAAACTCAATATGTTTTTATTATATGTGTTTCCTATACCAAAGCACCTAGCCTTTCTCCGGTTGAATTTTCTTACTAGTTGAAATTAGCTTTCCTGTGATATGCTGCAAGTAACAGGTTTTTTTTATAATAACATTCCAAACAAAAACAAAATAATTTAAAAAAATTTGCAAATGAAAATTGTTTAAAATTTTCAAATAGCAACATCTTAAATGGAAAATCATTTTATAGGTCTTTTAGTTCTTAACAAATTTTTTGTTTACACTTACTTCGTATATCTTTAATATTTTGTGTAAATAACAAAAAAAAACCTAATTTTGCTATATCAACTGCATGTTTTTTTAGGTTTAACACTAAATGAAATGGAGTCATTATTTTATTTCGCCCTTGTACGTTTAGACGTTTTTCCGTAATCAATTTGAGACACCTTACGTAGGACACCCTGTATAATGTATAATATACATTACTTATAATTACATTACTTATAATATACATACTTTCATCTTCTAAGACAACCGGAACAGTAGTAAGATGTAAATCTTGGGTATTAATAAGGCATGACAAGTTGTTAGCAGCAGCAGGTAGGACATCTTGAACATGCAATTTTTCATCTTCTAATTTGTTGAGTTTTTGTTTTTCATTGGCCAAATTTACCATAAGTTTCCCCCTCCGTAACATTCTTCTGAAACAAAAACGAGCCACTGTAACGCAAACTGTTAGGTGCAGAGTTTAAATTATTAATGCTATCATAGTACTGACGCCTGCAGTGATTTAAGTCCTGTGACAGATGAATTACTTGTTTTTTAATTGAATCGTAAGAATACTTTGAATAGGCCTAATGATTTTAGGCAGTTAATAAACTCCATTATAAAACCTTCTGAATCCACAAAAACTAGGCCTATTTTCTATGTTAAAACATGACAGGCGATATAAACCCAAGTACGGTAGGGTGTTTGTAGGTTCATACTAATTTAGTTTCAAAAAGCATCAAAGGTTTTGAAAAAATTGTTTATTGCCTTATAAAAACAATAGTAAAGTTTCTTTTAAAAAATTATACCACCTTCAATCCTCTCTTTAAGCCTAGGATAAGAAATAACTGCATGAAATCAGATAAAATGATTTGGTAATATTTGAAAAATTCCGAATCGATTAGGAAGCTTAAAATAAGATTTACCATTAAGGTAGTTGAAGCCAAAAAAAATAATAAAGGCTAAAAACTTGGCATGGAGTTTTACAGTTTCATTAATATTTCTAATGGAATTAAATTGCTTAAACTTAGTTTAAAACTTAGTTGCAAAAAGACTTATGTTCAATCCTCAGTTGTAGTTAGGCATGTCCTATGCAGAAAAATTACATACGACCTTTTGCGATTTAATGAAAACTTTTGAAAATCATGGCTAAAAATAAAAATTAACTCTGTAGTGCCTGTTTGACTTACTCAAACATCAATTCTTTAAACTTGTTTGATCAGCTTACAGCTTTACCATTGTTTTTCACGCATTTTATACAAAAATAAACATAACCTAAA